GGGGGGTCCTGGGGGGTCCTGGGGGGATCCTGGGGGGTTTTGGGGGGGTCCTGGGGAGTTTTGGGGGGTTTTTTGGGGGATCCTGTGGGGGTCCTGGGGGGTTTTGGGGGGTTCTGGGGGGGCTTGGGGGGGTTTGGGGGGGTCTGGGGGGTCCTGGGGGGTCCTGGGGGGATCCTGGGGGGTCCTGGGGGGATCCTGGGGGGTCCTGGGGGGATCCTGGGGGGTCCTGGGGGGATCCTGGGGGGTCCTGGGGGGATCCTGGGGGGTCCTGGGGGGATCCTGGGGGGTCCTGGGGGGATCCTGGGGGGTCCTGGGGGGATCCTGGGGGGTCCTGGGGGGATCCTGGGGGGTCCTGGGGGGATCCTGGGGGGTCCTGGGGGGATCCTGGGGGGTCCTGGGGGGATCCTGGGGGGTCCTGGGGGGATCCTGGGGGGTCCTGGGGGGATCCTGGGGGGTCCTGGGGGGATCCTGGGGGGTCCTGGGGGGATCCTGGGGGGTCCTGGGGGGATCCTGGGGGGTCCTGGGGGGATCCTGGGGGGTCCTGGGGGGATCCTGGGGGGTCCTGGGGGGATCCTGGGGGGTCCTGGGGGGATCCTGGGGGGTCCTGGGGGGATCCTGGGGGGTCCTGGGGGGATCCTGGGGGGTCCTGGGGGGATCCTGGGGGGTCCTGGGGGGATCCTGGGGGGTCCTGGGGGGATCCTGGGGGGTCCTGGGGGGATCCTGGGGGGTCCTGGGGGGATCCTGGGGGGTCCTGGGGGGATCCTGGGGGGTCCTGGGGGGATCCTGGGGGGTCCTGGGGGGATCCTGGGGGGTCCTGGGGGGATCCTGGGGGGTCCTGGGGGGATCCTGGGGGGTCCTGGGGGGATCCTGGGGGGTCCTGGGGGGATCCTGGGGGGTCCTGGGGGGATCCTGGGGGGTCCTGGGGGGATCCTGGGGGGTCCTGGGGGGATCCTGGGGGGTCCTGGGGGGATCCTGGGGGGTCCTGGGGGGATCCTGGGGGGTCCTGGGGGGATCCTGGGGGGTCCTGGGGGGATCCTGGGGGGTCCTGGGGGGATCCTGGGGGGTCCTGGGGGGATCCTGGGGGGTCCTGGGGGGATCCTGGGGGGTCCTGGGGGGATCCTGGGGGGTCCTGGGGGGATCCTGGGGGGTCCTGGGGGGATCCTGGGGGGTCCTGGGGGGATCCTGGGGGGTCCTGGGGGGATCCTGGGGGGTCCTGGGGGGATCCTGGGGGGTCCTGGGGGGATCCTGGGGGGTTTTGGGGGGTCCTGAGGGGTTTTGGGGACCCCCTGAGCCCTCCCCACGCCCCTCCCAGTACGCCCAGTTTGCGGCCAGGCAGGAGCTGCTGCAGCAGCTGGAGGAGCTCCAGTTCCAGCTGTCGGATCAGTCCCTGCTGCTGCTGCCGGAGTATCACCAGCGGCTGGAGGTGAGACCCCCAGAGACCCCCAGAGACCTCCCCAAACCCCCCCT